GACCAGGGAGGATGATTCAACCACTCAACCACTAGATGTCGCTGAAAACAACAAATCCTACACAGTGTGCCTTTAAAAAATACTAAAAACAATAATAAAAAATAAACAAAAAACATAGAAAAATCAGAATAAAATCAAATGATAGGTAACAGACGAAGAATTAATGTAATTTTGTCTGCCCTTTTCGACCCAGAATATATTCAACAAAACATAATTTACAAAACAATACTAAATAACATAAAATGAAAATAAAAAATGAAAAATAAAAACAACAGCATAAAAACATAAACTCAAACAGCAAATCAAATAACTTCACATTTTACTTTTCATATATCTTCGGAAAAACTTGCTTTTATCTGTTTCTTAAATATATACATTGATCTAGCATTTTAGACCATAGTTTGAGGATGAAGTGAAGGGAACTGCATTTTAAAGAAAAAAAACCCTTCCAGCCAATCTGTATTCAACATAGATCACTGATTATTTAACTCTTGTTTCAGCTTTAACTTGCATATCGTTTGCTCTAAGATTGGTTGTGTTTCCAGGGCCCCCCAGGAGACACCGCCCCAGCAGGAATACAGGGACCAAGAGGACCACGAGGACTGATGGTAAAATGAAGATTAATAGCAGTTTGGCGACTCAGTCAATTATTTCAGCCGACGCCAGGGCACTGAACTCTCCCAAACTGCACACTTGGCGCGGAAAAATAAGTGCGGCCTCATCAGATGCTTCATCATATGTGTCCTTAGTCACTAACATGTCTCTGCTTCTCAGGGTGTGAAAGGAGCTCTGGGCCCCGTCGGCATCATTGGGCCCAGCGGTCATCCTGTATGTACCTCATCTCTCATCCCATCTGCCAAGCTTTATGTGACTTCTCTCTGCTTTTTGGCAGAGACGGAGTGATGGTCTGTCTTCTTTCTTTCCATCAGGGACCCCAGGGTGACAAAGGAAGTCGGGGGGAGACGGTGCGTGGTGCTGTTTTGATGAATCCCTGTCTGTCTGTACTGTGAGCACGGAATAGGATACTTAGTATGGAGACGGCGCGCCACTCAGGCGCTCAGTTGCCTTCAGCGCCTTTCATTTCCTATTGTGTTGCGCTGTTTGTTGTTACACTCGCAGTGACACTTAGCTGCTGTGGAAATCATGTCAGTGTGATAAATGTTGGCTTCTTGCTCATCTCGGGCTTTTTAAAAGGTTTGTCGAACGCTCGTACACAGGCATCATTTACAGCCTTGCTCCTGAAACGCCCACACCAGGTCGGCTGTGCAAAAATGTAATTTGTGTTGAAATGCTCAGAGTGTGTGTGGAGGGTGACGCTCAGCTACTACCACATCGACTTTACCTCATTGTCTGTCACTTTGAGAATATTGTAGCCATTGAGATAACTGTGGGTTAGCTGTGTAACCAGTTGAAGGTATGCTGGACTTCCAGTGAATACTTTGAGTGTTTCAATAAAATTTGTCCAGAGGTAGATCACCCGCTTCGGATGTTATCATCCATTAAATGGACGTTATTAGTCATTAGCAGGCCCATAGAATGGCTTCAGAATGTCCCGACTGTGGCTCCTACTAGGGAGCACTGTCGGGACAGTCTGAACATTCAATGTCATTGATAAATTAACCCACCAGGGGGCACTTTCGGGACAGTCTGAAGCCATCCTATGGGACTGATAACCGCTAATAACGTCCATTTAATGGACTGATAACATCAGAACCCGCTGGGTAGATGAGCTATTTTGCTAACAGTCAAATAAGGTTAAACAAATACCATGTTCAAAGTTTAGCATTTCAGGCACGGGGTGGAAAAGACTTGGACATGTGTTTGCTAAGGTTGCTTTGTTTTGGCGGCCATCTTGAATAGTGTTGACTGCAAATGTTAATCAGCTTGAGCACAAACACACACAGGAAAGTAAAAAATAAATCAGGGCTATTCAACTAAATCGCTTCGGGGGCCGGGGATATTCAAAACACAAATCTCGGGGGGCCCGAGCTTTGTGTGTGTGTGTGGG